CTTACTGACCACCCCTTCTTAAATCCATTTCAGTTAGGCATTTCCCCCCTTTTTAAAATGAAACCTATTTCTGTGAAGTAGCCAATGACCTCCATCTTGCCAACTCACTGATCAATTGCACTTCTTCATCTTACTCTACTTGTCAGCATCGTTTGACACAGGAAATTAATTGCTTTTTACTTGAAAATCTTTATTCACCTGGCATTTTCTTCCTCCATCACTGATGACTCCAGCTTTTTCTTTAATTAACCCTCCCTTACCTTCCCCATCCCTATGTTTCATATTGCCCAGCACACGGTTGTAAGCATCATGACGTCTCTTGCTACACACTCCCTGATGTGACTTTATCTCACCCCTTGACTTTGAATACCAAGGACATGGTGAGACCTCCAAATTATATATTAAACCCTGGATCTTCTCCTTGAGTTTCAAACTTACTTATGTCCTTGCCTTCGTAGCAGGTACTTGGGTATCTCTAACAGGTTCAGAACAGAAGTTCTGGATTTTCTTCATGTTGATCTCCTCACTGGACTTCCCCATATCACTAAGTGGCACCACAAATCCTCCAGACACTCAGACCAAAAATCTAGTAGTTCACCAGGACTTTTTTCTTGACTCCCACATCTAACATATTCAGCAGCAATCATCCAAACTGTAAACCATATCCTGATGTTGTTTCATAATTCTCCATAGCCTCTCTTTCAAGCTAAACTCTAAACTTCTTAGAATGGCACCCAGAAGTCTTCATGATGTATCTCTATAGGTTAATCTCCTCATCTGCTAATTCTCTACCCAAAACTCACACTGTTCAAGTAACAGAACTTCCCTGCTCTTCCTCACCACCCAAAAGTTCCCTTCCTCTTCAAGAACTTGCCAATTTCTACTCCTCCTTCTAGGACATTTTCCTTCCTTAGCCTTATATAATCTTATAGATTATTAATATCCCTATGCAAACAGAACTTCCCCAGTGAAGCCTTTTCTCAATCTTCCATCTCAGATCACAAATTTGTGTGCTTGTTTATTTTCTGTGACTCTTGAATCATGTTATGTTCTGTGAAGGTGGGGATTTTGTTTTGTTTACTGCTATATACAAAAGATGCAAAAAAAGTGTACATATTTTAAGAAAGAAAAAAATTGTATTAAAATTATGATAATCAGTAATACTGATAACAAAAAATGAATACAAGTCACATTGAGCACCTCTTGTAATTGTACAAGAAAAATGAATCAAGTATTACAAATTTAATACAGTTTTCTCCTTTCTTAAAGTATGTGTGTATTTTTTGGCACCCTCTGCATATACTAACCAGTAAAATTGTGGACCATGATATGGACGCTATAAAAATCTGTTCAGTGAGTGAATAACTATGTTCAATATGATAAAGAATATATTAGAGAGAGACTCACAAGTAAGGAATATATCTAATACTATATTGAGAATGCTTCAATCATAAGGAAAAAGGAATTGGCGATTCTTTCTTTGAATCTTAGAGCTCAGTAAAACTTCTGATTTTGAAAAATTCTCTTTGGAATTCAAGTTGTTCCTCTGGAATTATCTGCCTACCACTGGTAATCAGTATATAAACATGCATTCCTGACTACAGACTGATATCCTGTGGATTTTTATTTATTTATTTTAAGAGGATAACCAGTAGTGGATCTTTGGGGAGACATAGCAAGACAGATTTGATGACTTACTGACTTTGAGAGTGATGGTGCACTTAGAATTTTCTGAAATAGCATAAAGAGTGTTTCCAATTGTAGAAATATTTTGTATAGTAAATAAATTATGAAAAAAGTAATGATTATAATCAGTTGAAATAAGCTGAATTAGAGGTCTAAAGATAAAAGAAATAATTTAGTTCGTGATAAAACTAAAAATACAGGTTACCTTGATTGTGTCAAAAGGCTGTTGTTTGGTATGTGTAGCTTTAAAATGCTATTCATTAATACAAAGAAATGTACAGAGTTCTACATAAAATTTTGGTCAACATCTAAGTTACTATCCCCTAGAGGGGTTGCCCCAAACCAAACATGTTCAAGGTGTTTGGTTAAAGGCTTACTGTAAAGAAAGTTATGTCTTTAAAAGATAAGGGAATATGTATAGATCATCAAAAGAATAATTTGTATGGGAACTTCTTAAAGTGATTTTTGCATCCTAAGAATGAAAAAATAAAAACTAATCTCAAGTTTGTAAATGGAATATTCTATGATTAAAATACAAACACATTAACAGATACACAGATATAATCAATCTCATATCAACCTACTTGAACCCTACAGTATTTTACCTCCAAGCATTAATAAACTCTGGTTCTCTAAACAAGACAAGGCATTTGAACAAATAATTTACTCCTACATATAATTAGTAGTGTTAATACATCCCTAAGTTAACACATCACTCTATTTCCCATGAAACGACATTAAAGGGTAGAACCTAGTTTTTTGTTAAGGGTATAAAGTGTATTTATTATATTTAATAAGATTCTTGAGCCACGAGGACAGGCAATGGTTACAGATGGCTGTTCCTGAGCCTTCCTGCTTCAAATGACACCTTGAGGCTTTACTTAAACCTCCGGCCTCCTCCTTTGCCCAGGAAGCTAAAGTTAATGGCTCAATAGTAGCAAACATGATCTAGTAAAAGTCACTAATGTAGATTCCATCATCTGCTATTTCCATTCAGGGGAGAATTCACAGACTTTGAGGCTGCTTTGATACAGGACAGAAGACAGAAATGAAGAGGCCTACAGTCTTTCGTTTTGATTCTTTTTGTGTCTGAGGAGTCTAAGTGTCAAGGCAATCCAATTAAACTTATCCAGTTAGGTTTGTGAACCATGGGATAAGCTGTTTCCCCCTTCTCTGAATTTTTCCAGCTTACCCAGGGGGCTATTAAATGAGCCCAGAAATGGAGGTCGGGAGGGCCACTGTCAAGCACCAACATTAGTCCTCATCTGCTATGACTCATGAATCACTTTACCCAACGCTCCTAGGTCTCCTTACACATAAAAAGGGTTTTATATGTTTTCTCAGATACGTTCCAAATCTAAAATTCTCATTTTAAATTCAGTCTCAATTAAATTCCTGTATTCACTTGAGGTTTATTATCCCTGCCTTTGAATAGAACTTACACAAACAGATAATGAAAGAGATACTAAATTTACTTTTTCAATATACTGAGTAAAATATTACATGCATTGTAATAATAAGCAAACAAAATAATTGCTTGATCATTTATCACTAAAATAAATTCTCGTTCTTGATGTTGGGGCCAAGTAAGTAAGCAAAGCGCTTGATATGCATTCATCAATCTGGCGATTCTTTAACAACATAACGGGCTCCTTGGAAGTTATTACTTTTCTTCCCCAAGCTGTGCAGAACCCAAACAGCAAAATACTGCTACAGCAACGAACAGGACAATCCTCGATTTACTTTACAATGTGCCTGCTTTATTGATGGTTTCCAAAACAGCATATACTGTGAAAGGGAATGGACTGCACAACCAGAGGGGTTTGGGTTCCAGTTCTGACTTTCTTTCTTACCAAATCAGTGACATTAAGCAATTAAACACCCATTGATGAATATAAAAGGACAGGAAACTGTCTAGTAGAGCCTTCCATATTATAAATATTTGTTGAATGTTTATTTATTGAATGAACCTCTCAGAGGCTTAGGTTTTCATAGACAATAAAGATAATAATGACTTAGTCCTTTCTCAAGAATTCAAAAAAGACAAATGTGAAAGCCATTAGCAGAGCCCATGGCACTCAGCAGATGCTCAAAAACTGACTCACTGTAAAATAAAACTGAGTCACTAAAGAGCATACAGTTTGCTCAAAAATAAGTTTAAAATTAATACTTTTTAGTAAGTATTAAAAATAAGTCACAATATCTACAAAGGCAATGACACATGCCGATGTGTAGTTTACCATCAATTAGGTTTCGCTTTAAGCCCTCAAAGATATAAAGTGCTCCCTTTAACACTCTCTTAAGCCTGCAATTTCAACTATTGCCATTTTCTATGAGCACTTCTGTGTCATCTTGTTTTGTTCATTTCTGTGGATCGTCTCCACAGGACACTTCCATCCCAGGGAAGCTGCTTTCCCAGGTTACTAACTAGCTCCTCAGTCCAGGACAGAACTTCACCTACAGTATCTGCCTGAACTAAGAGTACACAGAACTGCTGATATTTGGCTAGCTATGACCTATAAAAATACAAATTTCATGTGGTTTAGTAAATAGTTATTTTAACTATATGTATAAAACCATAAATTTATATCTAACTATTAATTCTCAGTATACAGTGTGGAGTTGGCCTAACAGCTATGCCTCTAATATATGGATATAAACATAATATAAATACTAAACAAAGATTATCATGCATGATGTCTGGCATTGCCCTCTAGCTTCCCTGAAAATGAAACAAGTAATTCATTGCTGGCATTATTATTATTATTTTTTAGATGGGATAACCCTGCCCACCCAGCCAGCAGCCTCTATCCCATCCTCCTGCCCATTCCACCGTCCTTATTAAGATCCTCGCCAAATGCTACCCCCTGAACCAGGCTTCCCCAGGCACGCCTTTCTTGTGCTCTGGCTCTGCACCACAATCTGCAGCTTCCCCGTCTGCGTGCCTCATTAGACTAGGAGCAGTCCCTGCTTTCACCTAATTTGAAAGCAAGTAGCTGGTCAACCTGTAAGAACCGCTGTCTTACATTATCAGGCAAAGTTTACAGGTACATGGACAGACTCTTCGGTTTCTCAAAGTCTTTAACTTGAAAAATTCACTGAATTTTGTTAGGAGTCCTTTGGTATATAAATCAGAATTTAAAATCTTACACAGCAAGTCTTTCCCCACGTTTCTGATGGGAAAAAAATAGAATTCTGTATTCTACCAGAAAAAAACTGCAAGTTTTTAATTATATAAATTATAAACAATGTGCTGACTGTAAGCTATCTTTACTGCATCACTATGTAGCATTAAACACAGGGAAGCAACTTACCAGTCTCCGATGTTCTTACAGAGAGCACGGAAGACACCTGGTCGCCGTGGCCGTACCTAGTGTATGACCTCACGGAAATGTTATAGAGGGTATAGGGTTTTAAGTCCTCTAAAATGATGCTTGTTGTGGAGGAGTTCTTTATAAATAAAGAATCTGTATCTTTATAGAGCACTTCATAAGCAATGATGACCCCATTGGGTTTCTCGGGTGGGGACCACTTCAACCTTATCTCATTTGCAGTGATGTCTATTACTTCAAGATCTTGAGGTGATGACTCCGGTTCTGGGGGAAGAAAACAAAATTTTAAGTACATGTATTTTTTTCATGCTTGTTCCTTCAGCTACCAGAGAAGGCATGAGATAAAGGCAGTAAGCATGGAACAGCACTTTTTAAAAATAATTAAAACTGCCACTGCTGGGCTCACCGTCCTCTAAGGTTCTCACAAAGACATCATTTTCTTCAGACAAAGAACTTTCTCCAACGTGGGTTGAGGCAGCCACTCTCATTTTGTATTTTGTGTATTTCTTTAATCCTATAAGGACAACAGGAAATTTTTTATAAAATAAAGCTTTTGGATTGGTGCCGTTTAATATGGGGCTAATGAAAATAATTTATTTGGGGGACTATTTAAATCAACTTCCATATAATCTCAATCTCCTCAAATTCCTTGGGATTGAAGGCCTGTCTCCAGTGATGATCTTTGAGAGTTTTTGTAAAATGTTAAGGCAATAATATAAATCTGAAAAAAATAATTTTTGGCACATCAAAGGGTAGAGTTGACTTGGCACAAATATGATGCCCAGCTCATTTCCACATTCATTTTTTCTCGGCTTTAGTCATGTGGTATTTTCATGTACCGCATATAATATTCCTTGGGTTAAACATGCTTCTATGAAACTTGTGATCCAGGGCTTTTTATTTCTTCGTGGGTAAATATAATTAAAGAAAAACACCTTTAATCAAGTTTTTCCACATCTATTTTAGGAGATATTCCTGGCAGCAGAGAACAACAAAATGTGGAATGACACAGAACTTGTCCCACAGTGTTTAAGACAGAGAGAGGTGTATATTTTCCATCAGATTGGGAATGTTAAAAAAAAAGAAAAAGAAAGAAAAAACTTTCTGTTCTACCTGTTATAAGAAAGCGGGTATCTGTAGTCGTCATCTGGAAGGCTCTGTCTGTATCCAGTTCCATTGCATAAATTGTATAATGAGTTATTTTTCCATTGGGATATTCTGGAGGATCCCAGTATAACAAGATTGATGAAGAACTAATATTTTTATAATTTATAATTTGAATGGAGCTTGGAACTTGAAGAGAAAACAATTAATATGAATGAAAATATGGCGAGAGCAGTATTTGCGGGGATGGTTTCCAAGGAAAGACATTCCTACCTTGCTCCCGTGTCCTGACATTGAGAGCCGTTGGTGGTCCTTCTCCCATGATGGTGAAAGCAGACACACTAATCATGTGCTCAGTGAAAGGTGTGAGTCGCCTGATAATGTAAGACAGCTGCTCAGCATCAATATCAGTGAGATACTGATTCCTCGCCAGGACTATTTGAAATAAGTAAAATTAAAAAAAAAAATGTTTGGCTTCACAATCAAAGTATTGTTCCTTACACCGTGAAATCTTAAACGTGACTGCGTATCACTCATTAATCTGTATACGCCTCTGTATTAAAGCTGGGTATATAAGTAACCGCAAATATAAAACGCTAACTTTAAAGATCATACTGAATGTTACTATGCCTTCTTAATACCCCCGATAATATCTATAAACATTTTGTGCTCAGAACACAGCTTTGCTAGTTTTCATGCACTATTCGGTATTCTGGAGACAAGATCAGTGTTCTGAGAAAATGTAACTCAGAGACTGGCAAAGAATTTTTCTGAGAAGAAAGAGTAGGCAACACCATCAAATTCAAATACTATAAATCAATACTAGCTTTTCGGAGAAGAGTTAAAAAGTAAGAGTTTTAGTTGGACTCAAAATTCACCATATATTCACTAAACCAATAATTCCTTAAAGCAAGCATGTTTGGGTAATTGACATATAAATATGCCTGAACTAGGATTTTAAATGATAGATTTTTACTTTATGTAGAATTTGTGCTTGCAAAACTATCAATTAGCCATTCGCAGAAACTTGAAGTGTTTCAGGAAACATCTCCATCAGAAATCATGAGTCCCCCCACGTTCTGTGTTGTCCATAGGCTTTCTTGCGCAATAAAAATGAATCGCTAACAGAAATAAACATAGATTGAATATAATGTGATTTTTTTTTACTAATTCTACTATAAATGTAATAAAATAACATGTTTCATTTAGAATGGGACAAACACCAAGTTAGAAACAAGGCAGTAAAATATTCTTCTCACTTAACAATTCAGAAAAACCAGAGAGATCATACAGTCCTGGGTCACCTTACCGAGTGTTTTTTTTTAGGTTGCCATATATGACATTTTTCTTTTAGAAAGAATAAGCGTCCCTGACACTGAAGAGCAAGTGTATACACTAATGACATCACCACATCATTGGAGTCACTTACACCTGTTTATCACACTATGCACTGGAGTTGTAACTTTCTGACCTATTTACCTTCAGTGACATTTCAAAACCTATTAGTCAAAAGCTGCAGAGAGTGTGCGGCCTGTAAAGGATTCGAAGATATGTTAATCCCTCCCCATCACACCTGCTTTGGCAACTGTAATAACTGATTGTCTCTGCAGCTTGGCCAGAAACGCTAGGGTGCTACTTTCTTTAGGAGGAAGGTCAGATGGGTTAGGAGGGGCCGGTGTCTGCCTGTGTGGCATTTCCATTTGCTGCATGAGGTTATCTGACAGTTAAAAAAAAAAAAGAAAAATCTGACTCCAGCTCATGGACCATTAATAATACGGTTGAACTCTAAGCTAAGGTTCATATCTTTGCTGGCTAGCACTGGTGGTTTAAGTGCACTCTATAGAAAATGAAGTTTTACCTACCAGCTGGTGAATTCTGATCGTCAGCTCTACTCCTTGCAGGAAGAATATTATATGGATGACTATAATACAGAAATGAGGCAAGCGAGTGCAGGTCAGAAGGCATCTCCGCTGAACCTTCGTATAATCCTGCCATTGGCTCTAATATGTTCATGATTTCTGGAGCCACAGGATCGTTTACATACTGTAATTAAAAGTAACATTTATGAAGACTGCTTGTGACACTTACACTTGATGACTTAAATCAACTGTTAAAGAACTTGCAACTTTGGAATCACGCTTTTTAAAAACGATATCATTTCTCTGACTCTTGTCTTCTTTAGATTCTGAAATTTCATCTCTTGAATCACTTTACTACATTGTAATTGCTCTGTTTCTTAAAAGACCAATATTATATTTTGGGAAGAAGCAGATACTTGTTTCTGGACTTGGCTATTTTCGTTATGGTAAAATTAGACACCCTCATGCCAAGATTTCGTGACTGAAATATTTTAACTGCTCACTCCCCTAAAGGTCCGTGTTCTGGCCATACTGATGCACTAAGACATGTTTTGCTTCCCTATTTATTTGTCCTCATTTTTATATCAAGTGCGAGAGGCCTGCAGGACTGCTCAGTATATACTCTGCATATCAGTGATGGTAGATTATCCGTAATAGAGTGAAGTTACAGACAAGAATAAAACATAGTGAGGCTCGGGGTTCACCTATCCACGCTCTGCAATCTAAGGAATATTCTAAGCAACTGCTATCATTCCTAGACCTCATAATGTAATTCACACATGTCAAGTTCACCAAAGTGGCAGATATTGCGGTGAAAACATCAGGAATAGATTACAGATGTATATAGTAGCGCTTTTTGTTAGGATAACAAGACGACCCCTTCCCTTCTCCTCTGTTCCTACCCAGCATAATTGATTGAAACGAAATAGGAAGAAAGGGTGTGTTGATTAAATAATACAGATGATGGTTTAGGATGTTGACTTTGGAGTAAATGCTAAACATTATTCAAAGAAAATATTGCCTGAAAGGACTTAACAACGTGGTGTAATATGCGGACTTAAGATTCTAATTAAAACACACCCATCAACATAGGCTTTGGAGATAATCAGGGAAGTACGGTCTCGATAACGCTAAGACAATATTAGGGATTTTGTTCATTGTAATCAAGGCATTGTTGTTTGTACTGAAATGTTTGTGCTTTTTAAATATGCACGCTTAGGCACACAGCCTCAAAACAACGTGAAGTGTGGGATTTGTTTCAAAGTACATGTGGAACAGCGTTGGGCCCCCAGCTGTGGGTACATGGGGTTTATCATATTCTGTACTTCCCTGGCTGTGTGAAATTTTCCAAAATAAAATCGTTGTGGGGAAAAAAAGAGTGTTGCAAAAACTAGCCTCTTAGTCAATTCCTTTTCAAGTTCTGCTTCGAAATTCACCTCTAAAACCCCCTTTTGAAAAATGTATTCTATTCCTTCTCGATTCCAAGTTCCTCTACCCTCAGAGTTTATTATAAATGCATAACAGAGGTTGCAGATGTGCATAAGTTTTGGGGCTTCGGTCTTTTAATTACTTAACATGTTTTGGAGTTGTCTTCACACTTAGGGATTTTCTATTTCTTGTTAACATCAAAGCATGTAATATTTTTTTTAAATGATAGATTCTCAGGAAAAAAAAACTCAGAAAGGCAAGAAATTTTAGAGTAGTTCTGTTAATTTAACTATTTTCAAAAGCAAGTTATTCAAATATTAATTTTTCTGAGAGATGAAAGAATAAAGGATTCAAAAACTCTCCAGTCCTCCAAATTATATTTACAAAATAAAATTATCTAAATCTAGTTAATACTTTAGCCAGAAAAAGTGGCACGCTGAACTGCAGGAGGAGTCCCATACAATCTATTAAATACTTCACAAACACCGTGATAAAGAACCCTGGATAGGGAACCCAATGTGGCACAAGGTCAAGGTCTTCCTTTTTCCAACAACTCACTTCAGCTCTGCCCCACTGGGAAATCGGGGAGGTTGTGGATCCCAAACACATAATTCAGATGCTCTGGTGTTCCAGTCAGGAGTTTATGCACGAACTACACAGCTGTTTCCACTATCAATCAGTCACCTTTTGAGAATCTCCTGTGCACCAAGTGCTGTAGAAGGGACACTGAGGTAGCACAAAGAATTTTCTCCTGACCTGTAACTTTGCATTAAATCTCTCCATATTTTCTACCCCATGTCAGATAAATTATTGAGTGAAACCACAGTATCCCATCAATTACCTCAGTTAAGCATCTCTGCAGACAAACTGCCACTTCAGCATCAGAGTTGACCTTAATACTTTTGACTCTGTGAATTTCTTTCTCTCCAATTCTGCTATTCTGCTATTGGAAAAACCCTCTGTCACTAAGGCAATGATTTGAAGCTTGGTTTTGTAACGACCCAGAATGTGTCTAATGGTCACCAAGTGTGCCATGTCATGAATGTTTCCTACCCTTTGCCTCCTTAAAAAGACATTATATTAGAAGTTAGGTTTTTCTTTTTTTTTTTAATTTATTGTTGAAGATTCATTGAGGGTACAAGAAACCAGGTTTCACTGATGGCATTTGTTAGGGAAAGTCCCTCTTACTATCGTGTCTTGCCCCCAAAAGGTGTGGCACACACCAAGACCCCACCCCCGTTAGTCAGGTTTTTCAAAAGAGAAAAAAGTAATAATTGTAAGAGCAAAAGTGATAGGAAAGAATTAGAATTTAAGAGAGTAATGGGAAGAGGCAGAGAGAAGCAGGAGGCCAATGAGGGAAATAGGAGGGGACAAACGCCCCTTGTAATGCCTGATGGTTTGGGGGCTCACTGAGTTAATCCAAGGTTCTCAATTGCAGTACAGTTGACATTCTGTGTTGTATAATTTTCTATTGGGGAAGCTGTTCTCGGCATAGCAGGAACCTTGGTCCTTACCCACTACAACCATCTGCCTACTTGTGACAATTGAAAGTATCTCCAGAGATTAACAAATGTCTCCTGGAACTGCTGGTTGAGCACCATTGATTTAGGGAATGTCACAATTCATCAACATGAAAGGCCTTGTATATGCTGCCCAGGAATCCTTGGAATTTACATGAAAGAATTAGAAGTCTTCAGAGTTAAATTCCTAATCCACCTGAGTAAACCATCTTGGTTTTACATGTAATAATCTTTATTATAGTGCATGTGGTTTTATTTTTAAAAAACCCTATTATATTATATCTGTCAATTTAGAGGAAGTGGAGGTCTGCCGAATTGAATTAATAAAATGTTTGACTTATTCTTAAGAAATGCGTCTGTATTTTAATAGAGACTATAATATGATTTATGCTGTAATCAAGACGTGAGAAAAAGAAAAGTTTGTAATTACCATAGGCCAGGAAGCCTCTAAAGGACACTGTATCATTTAATATTTTCAAGCTTAATTTGATCTATTCCATTTATGTGCCTAGTGCTCAATAAACTAAACTTAACTCAAGGCTTTCCTAAACTATTCTCAGCTTCTGTCCTCAGCCTCATCCTACTAACTGGCCACGTACTTAGCCAACTTTCTTCCCACACCCATCAATGAGGAACTTTGATATACCGGAGGAATATGTTGGATGAAAAATTTTGTCATACTAGGCAGCTAGATGTCTGTTGCAGAAAAACGTGTGAGGCATTTTCCTAACAGAAGAACAAGTACCAATGAGCTCTGAGCATGAAATTTAACCCAAGAACAATCCACGGAGAAATGGCTTTAGGGTTTTGGGTTTTTTTTGTTTTTTTTTTACTTCAGTCTCAGTGGCATGAAGCTCCAAAGAAATTAATTTTATTCTTGAAGTGTTTTGATTGAATGAGGAAATGTATACCAAAGGAGAAAATAATTAATTTGTCTTTATCCAAATTCCATACAGAATACTGTGTTCAGCTGAGTAAGAGGATTTTGAAAAACTATAAAATATACACAGAAGAGTGATCCATAGTATGAAGGACCCAGAAACCGTGACTAAGGGGGAACCAAGGACACTAAGCTGTAGGAAAATTACCACCACTGTCTTCAGTGAGAAAAAGCTAAACTGTTGTGTTGCTGTTATTACTGTAAAGACTTATTTTTTGAGCTGCTATGTGTGAGAGTGCAAAACACGTCATCATCATGATATGTAACAAGGGTCTGATGATGGATTTATAAAGAAAATAATTCCTCGTTCACACTCTCCCTGCTCCAAGCCTGACTCCCAGAAGCAGCACTTCAGTGAACTCCCGTGTTCAGTTTTATGGCATTTACTTCGAAAATCATTAAATAACATCCTAATATTGCTCTTTTAATATTCACCTACCCTAGGATTGATTGACTTTCTGCTGTGACAGGGAGGAACTGGCTTACCCAAATAGATATATACACGCCTTCCCCAACTGTACTCAATTTTTATTATTTTTATAACATAAATGGTATACTTCTATCTAGATGGATTATTCTAACAGGTGTGTGAAATCTAACACAGTGGGCCGGGAGAGGGTGGTGATTAGCCTCTCAGGTGGACACCGATATCCTCACCTCCTCTTGTTGACACTTGTGTGTATTCTCCTCCCCTTGAGTTGAGTAGGCCCTGGGACTTGCATTTAACCAATAGAATAAAGCACAAGGGCTGGCATGGCAAACCCATGATTATATCATTTAGACCCTATTTGCTGGCTTAATGAAGAAAATGGCCATTTGGGGACAGCCATGTGGCAAGAAACAGCAGGGGTCCTCCAGGAGTAGAGGGTAGACTCCACCCAGGAGTCAGCAAGAAGCTAAGGCCATTATTAGTTCTATAACTAAAAGGAAATAAAATCTACCAAAAACCTTAGCAAGCCTGGAAGTGGACTCTTCTCTAGTCAAGGCTCCCAGTGAGAACAGAGCTCAGCCAACCCCTTGATTGAAGCCTTATGAGAACCCGAGCAGAGAACCCATCTAAGCTGTGCCTGGACTCCTAACCCACAGGAACTGTGAGATAATAACTCTCAGTTGTTTTAAGCTGCTAAGTTTGTGGCAAATTATTACACAACAATTAAAAACTAATACAGAGAAATTAAAAACAGGACTTCAGACAGGAGATTATGTGATCCTGGAGTGGGTAGGGACACAGGAATAAAATAGAGACAGGAAAGTCCCACTCTGGGGGTTGAAATAACTGACCTTTGTATTAATTGTCTATTAAATGCTAAGAAGACCCTAAGTCAGAGGTAATTCTAAGGTTTCAAACCTTCAACAAAGAGGAGAATGATGTCATTAACCAAAAAGAGAAACAGACAAACAGCAGCAGCGTCATAAATGCTCACCCTCAACACCTCTAAACACTGTTGCTAGACAATGACCATCAGGTCAGAGATGTGTAGTACACCCAGCCCAAGGCATTAGCAAATTCTAACCCTGTGACTTGGTAGAGAAGCTTCCAGCCAATATCTCTTCAGGCCTTGTTCTTGACACTCTGGGACTATTCATTGCCTGGGAAGACTTTCTTATTGTGTGTCCTGTGGGGACCTTCAGGTAACCACCACCATCCTAAGATCTCTGTCTAGTATATGTTCCTTGTCTCTGCTTCACCTCCTCCTTCCCGTCATGAACCAGGTCAAATTACATCAGGGAATTCAAGGTGGCCAGAGTGCATGGAACATATGGTACGGTCCATTTTCACATCCAGGGAAGGGCCAGAAGTAGAGGAAGGCTGGGACCAGGAAAAGATTGACGGTATCTGCGGTGGAGGTGGGAAGTAACACCACAGGTGAAAGAAGCAGAAATTCTGAAACGAAACAGCAGAAGCAGGAGCTGAATCACTGTTGGGGATGTCTCTTCAGCTCAGGGATTGCTGCAGTGGTCCTAGGTACATGTATTCTTTGCATGCCCCAGGAAGCAGCCAATATCTGGATGAGACTAGTCTGAGGCTTAACGGGTCCCCACACACGTACACAGGTGGCTCAGTGAGGGGAATGAAGACAGGGAAGGAAAATCAGTGTCGTCTGCACTTCCCAACAGAAACACACACAAAATACTTGACTTCCAACATGGATAGAAGCAAACACATTGTCAAAAGATCCCAGTCCTTTCATTTAAATACATAAAATGACTCAAATCTCTATTAATTAGTTACATGATTTCTTTAATCAAACTGCCATTATTATTTTTTAAATCATGGCAGCTCTCAGAAATTTAGCCTGCCAAGAGCAAATTGGACACAATTGCTAACCGCGGCTATTCAAATGACTCTGCCTTTCCCTGGCAACTGTTCCAAATTGCAAATATAGCCTTTGAAGCGTATTTAAATCATAACATGAGTTTCCAAATAATTTATTAACTAAATTAGCATAATAATATTCACTTATGAGAGAACCTTTAGTCCAGCTTAATGGTTCAATTAACATTTTTCATATGCTAAAAATGAATTTTAAAAGAATAATAGCACTGCACTAATAAAGTATGACCTAGCTAAATTATCGACAGGCCCAAATTTGCTGCACTTTATACTAGGAAGTTGTCAGATATTTTATGTTTGAGTACAGGTAAATCTTTCAACTTGTCAGGACCAGCACGAAGCAGAAAGGGCCCACCAAGAAGTGAAATGAAAATGCAGGACAGTGCCTGTGGCTCAGTGAGTAGGGTGCTGGCCCCACCAAGAGGTGGTGGGCTCAAACCCAGCCCTGGCCAAAAAGTGGAAAAAAAAAAAAAAGAAAGAAAGAAAGAAAGAAAATGCAATACCTCATTCTTCCCTGTGAGCAAAGTATCTTCCAAAATTTTTCCTGTCTCTGAAACTAGTACTTTCACTCGGTATTGGTTAATAATTCCATTCGGTTGTCGTGGTTTCTTCCAAGTAATTCTCACTTGTGTGGCTTCTACCTCTGCAAGCTGTAAATCAGATATTGCACCTGGAACTAAAAAAAAAAAGAAAAGAAAAGAAAAGAAAAAGAAAAAAATGATTTGAAAATACATTTTCAAGTGAAAATATTTCCTAAATTCTTAACTCATGAAAATACTGTAAAACAATTAAACAACTTATTAAAAGATAACTATGGTATAGGAGTCTTCAAATAAATAGATATTTAAAATTTGAATTTCTAAATATCGTTCTCAAAGTGTGAATAACAAACAGGAAAATGAAGGAGCTCAGGGAATTTCACCCCAAAATATAATCCCTTGGTACAAAGAGTGTTTTGAATTGAAGGACCTTTTAGAGCAACATGTGTGAGGAAGGACTTTCTTGTATCTGTATAAATCCGGGTAGACCTGTCCAAAAGAATAATTGCTTTTTCTTCACCTACCTGTTATCTCAGGAAATATCAAGACAGTACCTGTTTCTCTGGTTAATTTCCAAAAAGAATCATTTGCAAGTCACTTTTCTCCCATCCATTCATTCTCTCAAATATCTATTTATCCTCCCGGGTAACCATGTATTGCCACTAAATAGAATTCCCCATATTCCTCATCTTCCCCTCCACTCTAAAATGAGAGTATATAAACTTCTGGACCCAATTAGAACACTGGGTAATTATTCTGCTATTCTCCCCATGAACACAGTAAATAAATTCATAATTTCTTTCAATGATTAATCTGCTGCCTTGTGTGTTGATCTTTCATTGAATCTTTTAGGGAAGAAGAGTGAGTTTTCCTTCTGTCCCACAATTACAGAATGACTTTCCAAAATCCAAATGTCATGACATTTGTTCAAAACAAATTAATTAATAAAAATAATTTCTCTGAGAAGCCACCTATTTAGGGATGATTCATGCCCAATTGAAATCGAGACAGCTTCATAAAAATTATAAGAGGAGATCAAGATATAATATCCAGAGGCTGTGGATGCAATTACACTGCCTTTATTTGATTACATACAATTGTTTGCAGAGTTGGTTGAGTTTGGTCACATGATTTTTAAATTAATCATGTGATTTCAAATTTTAGGTGAACTCATTCTTAGCAGTAGGAACCAACTAACAATTAGATTAAGATAAAGTATGTTTTAAGGAAATAAAACTTCATTACCAAGTATAGAAAACAAGTTCTAGTAATAAAGTCACCAAGAATGACACATAGGAAACCTCTCAGTTTCACAGATGTGAAGGATCACAGGGATAAACGCAAACCTGGATTTTGATCATCTTTGGTTATAGCTCAATTTGTCATTGTGAATAGTCAGTTTATCCCTCCAAACCTCACTTTCTTCACTTAGAAAATGGATGGGATTATAGGGTTGGGGTTGCTATAAAAAACAAATGGTTCAAGAGAATTTCATAAATTTATAAAATCTTCAGGAAATAGAAAGTATGACATAAAATTATAATCCCTAATGATCACCAACAGAGGAGAACAACCCCATTTTCTTTTTTAAGACAACAGAAAGGAATTGGAAAATAATTTTACAACCCCCTTGAGTGTTACTTATAATTAGTGAACCTAATTGTGATTAAATTAGCTATGTATCAAACTATTGCTCTATGGATTCATACAGATGAAATCTATAAATGTCATCCAATAGAGAACTGCTACTTTGTCTCTAGTAACCAGCAAAGACCCTCTACATCCTGGGACAATCATTTCATCATTCATCGTTCAGCATTCTAACCATTCATCATATGATCACGGTTCTAGACATTCAGAATAGGAGGAATAAGACACACCAAACCCTCTGGTCAAGGTCATGTATCTGGTACAAGTTTTATTTCCTTAAAATATACTGCACCTAGAACTTACATTCCTGCCATGATGTTTACCAATATTCACTTTTCAAAGGTGGACAAACTTTCTGATGAACTGAGTAGCAAAGCTATTTAAATAGAAAAGATCTTATTCCATTTCTCCCCAAATTTTAGTGTGCAGTCTCTCTCTAGACGAAACTTTATCCAGCATTGTATAATATAAATGACAGAAAAGATCCACTGTATCTTTTATTTAATTTGAACTGATGTAGAGTCTCAATTGAAAAAAATAATAATCACTGCATTGATCACAGTAATCAGACAACTATGGTCGGTTCCATTTGATACAACACAATAATGTGGTAGAATATCAAATATTACCTAATACAGCAGAAAAAATCCTTAGTTTACTCTTATTTAGCTGGCCAAACCTAAGAGTTATAGTTGACACTGCTTATCTTTTATGGATCAATTTATAATCTATTTCTCAATATAATTTAGTGTTGCCAGCCTGAAATTATAAACCAAGTAAAGATTAAGTGGTTCTATATTACTGTAAAATATATACTGCAAACCTGTCTCTTTTTCCAATCAAAAAAAAAAAGGCTTAGGGGATAAAGGAAACAGAATAGACAGAATTTTATCTTGTGTTTAGAAAGATACTTGACCTGTTAGACCACAAACTCTTACAGAGAAGTATGGATTAGATCAAAGTCCTTGATCATTGATACAATATTTACTAAAGAAAAACACACAAGGCAATTATTAATGAATGGTTCAGCCTCAATTTAAAAGGTACTGTTCGAAGGGACTACCTAATAGTAATTCTAAAGTTAATGTATTTATAACTTTTTCTAATAAATGAGAAACATAGTAGTTATATGACTGATAAAAAATATTCCATATTTTCCTTACCCCAATTCCATTTGTTTTCACCATAAAAAGTGTAAAATTTACTAGGTGTAGAATATAAATGTCTTAACATAATAACTAAGAAAATGCTGTGAAGGCTATGTTGACCAGTTTGATGAAAGCATTTCAGATTGTGTGTAAAACTAGCACATTATATCCCATGATTACATTAATGTACACAGCTATGATTTAATACAAAGAAAAGAAAGTGATGCTGAATGATGAATTTGCCAGCTGACGGCAAAAAATGATTTTAATTTTGAAGGTGTTTGTGTATAGGCAGTACCTAAGAGTCATTCTCAAGTCAATACATTTATAAATTGTACTAATAAATGAGAAACCAAGTAGACAAATAATCAATAAAAAATACTTCAAGTTGTGGGCAGTGCCTATGGCCCAAAGGAGTAGGGTGCCAGCCTCATATGCTGGAGGTGGGTTCAAACCCAGCCCTGGC